AACTGGGGGCACCGGGGGCGGTGGGGGCGGCAGCGCGGCGCAGTCCTTTCTACGGCCGCCCGGGACCGTGCAGTCCGCGGCGCTCATGGCCACGCACCAGCCGCTGTCGCTGAGCCGGACGACGGCCACCATCGCGCCCATCCTGAGCGTGCCGCTCTCTGGACAGTTCCTGCAGCCCGCAGCCTCGGCCGCCGCTGCTGCCGCAGCTGCAGCGCAAGCAAAGTGGCCCGCTCAATAGGGACGCGCCGATGGCCGGGACCGAGGGCCGGGTGGCGGCCTGGGGCGGCGGCTGCACTTCTAGTTTACGCGCCCCGCCCCGGGCCCGGCCCCCCTGCCCAATCCCGGACTCTGCCTCTCCTCCATTTCCTCCCCCCGACCCCTCAACACCGACCTTCGGCGGCCTCCACCCCCTCGCGCACACCTAGGCTGGCGGAGCAAACTCTCACCGCACGCCCGCCGGGAATAGCTTTCCGTACAGGTAAAACTGAAAACCGAATTTTCCAAAAATGTACCCCGACGGCTCCTGCTCTCAGTACCGTGGGGATGGGAGGGAAATTCTTTGTACATATTTGTATAAAAATTATTGACTTTCCTTTTGGGGTTCTTATTTTTTTAAGAAAAAACAAATTCAGTAGATTTAGAGCTCTGAACTTTCATTTTTTTTGAAGGTTCACTCTCCGCAGTTTTATGTGAGAAAAAAAAATGTATAGAGACGTTGGGAGATTTTAAATATAAAAAATTTTCGAAAGGCGAAAAGTGTCATTCTATTATAAAAGTCTGTTTATATATGAATGAATATATATGGTATTCTAAATGTTATTCCATCGTGTTGTACACAACTTTGTAAATAAATTTTTAAAATGTTCACCCTAGTGTTTTATTTAGATGTCTGAGGTAAACGACAGTATTTTAAAATTGTATTTGTATTTTATCTTTACCAGAAATTCGAGGAGTTTCAAGTATGACCCTTTCAAACTTAGCTATGCATAATTTGAATGTAAGAACAATTTAATTGGAGAAAGGAAAGGATATGCCTAATTTAAATAGTATTAATATTTTTCTTTTAGTTTTCACATAAATTTGGGATATTGGTGATGATCTCGTTCATACCAATCCATTAAGTCTGACCAGATATTTCTATAGATAAAATAAGCTGCCATTTAAAAAAACCAACCTAAATCTAAACAACAGCACAATCTTTTAATTTTTTTTTAATATCAGACTTTTGTCTTCCATATGAGTTCTTGGTCATTTCAATTATGCTTTCAAAAGAATGTAAATTACAGACATCCCCCATTTTAGAATTTAAATCTTAAGTTTTTGAAATTCTTTCTTTTCATTCCTTAAGTGGCAGTGGTAAATAAACACAGTTAATTTTTTTTTTAATGTATGTTATGGCAGTTTAATTTTGCAGTGGAACTGTATTATCTATATTAACCTGATCAATAAGACATAGTTCTTATCTTTCATAATATTTTCAAATAAGATATTTCTTTTCTATGGCAATAATAAATCCACAACATAATTTTGATTTCTGAAGGATTCCTATGAATGCCTCCTCCCCTCAACCCGCAGTGTTTTGGAAGGCCAAGGAATAGTGGCCTTAACACCCTTTTAAAAACAGGTGCACATCACCCCTCTCCTTTATTCCCCTCTTTTTAAAACTTTAAAAAACAAACCATAGTCTAGGTTAGTGGGAAATGAGAGATCATAGGGCAGGAATGGGGAGATGTCCTCGCAGATTATTTTTAATGTGCATTTCAGCTGTGGCAACCTTAAAAACATTAAGGTAGAAATAAAACATCTAGACGCGGAAGGCCGTTTCCCATTCACCAACATATCCTCAAATGGCATCAATTCTAATTATTTTATAATTAATTTAGCTGTACAATTACTTTTGCGAAATCGCTTTTTAAATCTGTAACCGGTAGCCGTGCTGTCAGTTCGGCCCTATGCGCGTCCTGCTTGCACAACAGGGCCAGTCCCTGTCGGTGGCGTCCACCTCGGCTCTTGGTCGTGGAGATGCCTTCCAGCTTCGGATTCGACCCTTATTTCTCTGCTGTCGGCGTGGGATAGGGAGTCGCTTTGAAAGACACGTCTTCGAAAATACCGAATCTGTTTTCCTGGTAAACAGTAAACATTATTGTGTCCTGAGTAAACATTCCTCCTGGATCAGGGTCCTAAAATAAAACAAGCTGCCGGGGGTGAGATAGTTTAACTTGATAAACAAGAACCTGATAATCAACCGCGGCGGAGAGGCGCAACAGTAACCTTCACGGAGAAGAGATTATGGACCACACAGTCTCCGGGCGGGTCCCTTCTAATCTCCTTTTACAAGGAAAACTAAACGGATCTAAATTTGTTTGTGTGTTGCAGCTATAAAAGTAACAAGTTGTTTCACAGTTGTGTCTGGCTAATCGGTTTTTTACACAAACAGCAAATGGTACATGATTTGTGCAAACACAGAGGTTATTTCTAATTTTAGCTGACACCCCTGGGAAAAGGGAAAGGCAGGGCTTCTTGAATTCACTTTTAGCCTCAAGAAGCTGCTGATCCAAGGCTTCTAAATGACATTGGATAACAGAGGCCTCATTCCATCCCTGATCCTTTGTTACTTATAAAATTACTCGCTCATATTTCCACGCATAGCAGCAATACCGGCCGAGCCTGAGCCCGCAGCTTGACACTCCGCCACAAGCCGCCGCTTGAAATCCGCAGGGCTTTTTCCAGCGATGCATTAGGCAGCAGGGAGTAGAGGAGGAGGGATCCGCCGGCAACTTTCCTTCTAGTCACTTCTCAACCTTGAACTAGAGCCTGGAGATGGTCCCTTTCCTTTATTTCTTGGAGAATAGGAGACTCCCAGATCCAGACTCCAAACCGGACAGCGGCTGTTTAAAGTGCTGGCAGACGTCTTGGAGATAGACCTGGCTGTACCCCTCTGAAAAGCTCTTTTTGGTTTATGCTTGTTAAACCACGAAGGTTTAGAGCAGAAGGGAAAATGCAAATATATATAATGAACTCAAACATTTGGTTGGGGGGGCGGTTTGAAACTCACATTTGGTATGAACGCGGGCACCAGCGACGAAAGACACTGAAATCCCCTTTTACATTGAGATTTAAAGGCAACACGATTGATATCCGCTTTTATTCCACTTAGGCAGATTTATTTGTAATAAAAAAAGGAAGCGGGTTGATTTTTATGGGGGAGAATTTTAGCTTTCGGCTACACACAAATTTAAACTGGTTTCCACCTCCTCCAGCGCTCATTTCTAGAAAGTCAATTCAGTTCCGAGGTCTGTAGTCCTTAGAACTTCCCCAGGACTGAGTCCCTGAGTGGGGCCCGCGCACGCAGTTCCTCCGGGAATGGGTGAATCCGGAGGTCCAGGGAAATACGAACCTAGACTAGAGCAAGATGCTTGCACGGACTATGATGGGCTCTCGCTGCGATGGCGGATGTGGCCTGTAGGGGGCGACGAGCAGATGGAAAACTTAACGGGTTTTGTCTCCTAGCGTCCAGCCCCAGCTCTGAGAGACCTCTCCTTGTCTCGAAGCCTCTGAACACCCTGACACCCTTGTTCATCCTCCGGGCCTGGGACATCCAGGTAGAATCTTGGAGAAGCTACTTCTTCGGCCTGTCTCCTGAGAGGGCCAGAGTCCCGAGGGAAGTTTGTCTTAAAGATTGGGAAGCAATAAAGTTTAGTGACGAGGAAACATCGACTTGGTTGCAATTAAGAGTTATATTTGAGGTTATTTATTTTACATGGTTTATAGGAAGAGTCTTGGCAGTGAGGGGAACATGAAAGGTTAATGGGTGGGGGGTGCGTTTTAACGTGGGTTCCTTGAAGAACTGTCTGGAGAGAATGTGGTCTGAAACCCAGTTCCAAAGCCATGAGTCCATTAGACCCTACTAGTGGCAAACTGCAGCATGAATGGTGGCAAACTGCAGCATGAATTAGTAAATGTTCTCTCTGGGCTGGGGGTGGGGGTTGTTGGAAGAAGATTCTCTGGGTGTCCAGGCCCAGTCATGAGGGGGTGGGGTGCCTATTTCATGGGAGGGGATGATAGGAAGCAATGGAATGAGAGAGGCCTTGCAGAAGGGGTTTCAATCAGGGATAAGGCATTTTGTGACTGTGACCTTGGACAAGCTGCTTGGTTTCTTTGAGTCTCTCCATTTCTTTATCTCTACAATGAGAATGAGGAGTCCACCTGATGCTTGGGCTTGCAGGATTACGTGAGTTGGTGTCAGTGAAAAATGTTTTATAAACTGTAAGGAGCTAAGGGAATGTAAGGAATTTACTTGGTATTTTTAATGGCTTCTGGACAGAGACACAACTCTCTTCCAAACACCAACAGTATTTGGTTTGGTTTTGAAAAACTCAATTTTAAGTGTGAAAAGTGGGTTTTTCTAAGAGGGGTTGCAGAACCTATTCCAGTCCCCTGCTACCTGGAAGGATGGAGCAAAGGAGGCTAATCAGAATGGGCTTTTAAAAGGTGGAGTCTCCTCCTGGTTTTGAGTCCTTCCACCATGCCTTGGGCCTGAGGAGAAGCCCTCAGGCCAGCTGCAGAGGCCTGGCGTGTTTCTTTTTGGCTGACTGGTCCACTTTGCTGTTTGCCCCTTTGCTTCCACCATCTGAGGCAAGTGGGGAAACAGGAGCCCTTCGCTGACAGATGTCCATTAGTGCAAGACATGGGCTCCGGAGTGAATTAAAGGTAACCAGATCCTAAACTCACGTAAAAGACCACCCTCCCTTTACTTCCAACAGTTGGCAGAGTTACACCCAGAGCCAGCTTCTCTCTTAACCATCACCACCCCCTCCCCTTACCCTCTTAGGAATGTACAGGCCATTCTTTGCTCCCCAGGAGCAAGGCCAGCCAAGGACGGTGGGTGCACAGAACAAGATTTGAAAAGAAATGTTGCAAAATCAGCCATGAAGTGGTAAGAAAGCATTGTCATCTTATTTTTTTATTTCCCGAGGGGGTGTCTTACATCAGAATTTCTCAAAATAAGAATTACATTAATCCCCTTCCCTATTTTAATATAAAAGCCGTACCCAAGCCCTTCTTTTCCAGATGACGTTGTGTTTATGCACACAGCTTCTTCCCATCAGTGGCAAGGTGGGGAGGAAGAGGGGACACCTTCATTCCCTTGCCTGAGTTCCGCCCCCCCCCCCACCGGGCTGAATTTCAGAGGTATTTTCAGAAAAAAACAGTCCTCCAGAACACCCTCCCCTCTTTTCA